TCCCTCTTTTCGGAAACCCCAACCCGGCGAGTTTTGTGGAGGGCATTTCAGGGGAGAAATGGAACTGTATGCCCACATGCACTTCTCATTTATGCAAGACTCTAACTTAACGACTCTAATTTTTAGCGACCTGACACTGATTTTTACTCACATATTTACAACCTTCCTGTTTTTCTCAATGTTACTATACTCTGCAACGAAATAATTTATTTCACTATGTTCCCAACTCCAAGATTTTACATAAAATATTAGCAACAGAGAAGTATCCGAGAATAAATTAAGTTAGCGAGCATTGGCATTGTATTGCAGCATTAGCATTGGCCAGAATAAAAATTCACCACCTAACAACCTCGAGGCAGAAGAAAAAAATAACTTAATGAGCATTGCTTTCGAATATAAAATGCTTTGCATAACTATAAGACCCTGAAAATGTTAATGTTTCGAAATGAGGCTAGCGCTTAAAAATTAAGCGATTTTCAAATTAAATTTGTGGTGAGTCAAGTATTTTCAGTATCTTGATTGTGAGACTTCTATGTTTTGTCTCCTCGCTTTCAGCTCTCTCTTTTCATTGCGTTCAGAGACACAGGAACATGAACTTTAATTGTACGTTCGTAGAATTTCTCACGGCTCGTGATTTGAAAACATCGCCATTTGCCCCAGTTTTTCTCAAGTTACTGCCACTATAAATCGAAAGAGTTCCCCAATGGAAATCGCGAGTAAAATTATAATCAATTGAATTGCACTTCTTTTCTTCTCGTCTTTTAGGGCTTGTAAGCGATGAGGTTACTTGGGTGGTCGGCTTTGGTTCTGTGCTTGTCTCTCAGTGATGCCAGCAGTTTACTGAGCAAGACGATCAATGCGGATGGAAGTCGGGGTAAGTCTTCCTCGTTTCGGAAGGTTAAGAACAACCTCTAATGAAGGCTCTTATAGAATTTCGAATCGCAAAGCAAATCAAGCACAACACCTGCCTTTGTCAATGTCGTTGCGTTCCCGAAAAGATGGACCTGTTCGGTAACCGGCCTGCCGCCGGCTCTTCAAGGGAATCACTAGAAGTCGACGACAATGCAGCAAAAGACCAGCAAAAACTGAAGACATCGATGGTCCAGGAGCTGGCTGCAGCCACAACACAACCCATCAACGTCACTCTAAGCAGCACTTCCTCGAAAACAAGTACATCAACACAAAAGGTAACGGAGACAGTGCCGGTAACATCAGCTACTACTACTGAAATTACCAAAGAAACATCAGAGATTGGGCACGACTCAACGACCTTGGCTGCTGCAACAGAAACTACTGCGGCGACAAGCTCGTCGACATCAACATCTACAACGCTAACGTCAACATCCGAGTTACCTCCTTCTTCTCCAATGGAAGCAAACGCGACTGATTTCACAGCTTCGGCTGGAAATGACGCTTCAACATCTGCTCCTGAAGTGTTAGATTCAATAGACGCTAAAGCAGTTGTCAACAAGGAAGACATCCCCATACCCTCTACAACGCTGACGCCGGATCCAACAACGACGCTCGGGGAGGAGAACGAAACGCCGACTGGCACAACCGACGTGTCAACCCCTGTTGCTGAGACCACTACTGAGGCGATAATAACGGAGAGCATGGACGTCATTGAGACGACTTTGCTCCAGCATACCACTGAGCTTATGGAGTCATCTACAGTAACCAGTCTGAGCACGTCGGATGAAGGAAGCACTCTAACGGTCGACGCAACGACATCAGCAAATGTAGAAGACAGAGCGCCTAGCACCACTGAACCAAGTAGCACTGGTGAAACCGAATCTTCGACAACTGAGCAGTCCTCAACGACGAGGGATGATCACAGTTCAACAAGCCAGAGCAACGAAGACGCTATTCCTGCAAAAGCCAGTACAGATATCGCTTCTGGCTCTGACGAGAATCTGTCTGAAACAACCGTTGAGTTCATCACTTCAACAGGAATTCCACATTCTGCTACTCCCACAGCAGCACAACCCAGCACGACTTCTTCGCTGGGCACCACCACCGCCAGCACTGTTTCAACCACGAGTGTTACGCCTTCAACTACCACTACTGCACCACGAACTAGCTCTGAAACAAGCACCTCCACAACTACTACGACCTCAACTGCTGCATCAACCACGTCCCCCACAACAACCACGACCACCACCACAACCACACAACCTATCACAACAACCACCTCGACAGCACCTCCAACAATAGAGGTTACAGTCACCTCCGCCACCACAACACTCTTGCCGACGACCACAACGACGTTAACCTCCTCAACAACCAATCCTTCTACGTCAACCGTACTTCCAACTAGCTCTCCCACAGACGCATCAACGACAACGTTCCCGATAACACAGGCGACCACAACGGTCATAGAATCGAGCTCTGAATCCACATCAGAACTAACAACTCAAAATTCATCCAGTACGAAATCTCTTGAGCCAGCTGTTGTTTCTGATACTGCAGAACAAGATGAGGTCCGAAGTGACATCGCCTTGAAAAAGAAACTTCCAGGTGATAATGAGTCAAAAGAGAATCTAGCCAGTACCACTAAACATCCAGCTGTAACCGTGACGAAAATAGTAGAAGGTGAAGAACCCCACCTCTCGACACCTTCTTCGCAAAGCTCAACTCAGCTGCGTGAAACGTCGACCACAGAAGCAACCTTGTCGACCCAAGCGTCTACTTTGAGTACAGGTGATCTATGATTTCTTTTTCATTTTGCGGCTTATGTACTTTAATTATGATTCTTTATGTAGATATATTTCGAAATATTATTCCAGTATCTACTATTTGAGCTTGTTTAGGTGAGTTTGGAAACAATGAAGACGCACCTGGTCTGAAGGTAGGAGTTCAAGATGAAACACCCGAATTCGTATGGAACATGACAACTCCGGAAACGCTCATTGAGAAAGTGGAATTCATTCAATCTCGAAAAGATCTTCCAGAGAGATGGAGGGGACTTGTACTACGGCTGAAGAAGAAGCTGGAGGCATTAAAAGCTCAGAAGGAAATCCTGAAGTCGCTTTCTACGAGCACGACATCCTCGGCTGAAGGAGACGAAGCATCGGAAATAACTGTGACTGATGAATCCTCACCTCGTACCTCTGAGACTGAAACCACTTCCACTGCAACGGCAACTACTACACATCCTTCAAATGAAGAAGCTCTCACAACAACCACGCTCAGAGCTACACCCACTTCAGAAGCCACAAGCACCCAGGCAGAGGAAACCACAACATCTACAGCCACAGAGGGTAAGGAGGCAGAGAAAATTACTAACGACACCCCGACCACCACGGCTGATTTCGTAACTAAACCTCTGAGCGGAGTTCTAGACTCCTCCGCTATTAGCACGAGCAATGAAGCTGCAACCGTCCGTAGCACTACAAGCAAAGCAGTGGAAGTGACTACTTCGAGAATTCTGGCGTCGGCGTCAGAGAAATCGCCAGACGAGGTGAACGCTACGGAAGAATTTTCTGCAACAACTAGCACTACCGTCAAGGACGACAAACCAGCATTTGTGACGAGCAAGGAAAAAGTGGAAATAGAGTTTAGCGACGACGATGCGCCAACAACTGCTACCGCTACAGACTTCGCAGCTCTCACTACCAGTGACAACAGCGGGGCTGAGCACGAAGTCACGACTGTTCACGAGATGTCCACAACAGCCTCTGAGGAAACGCTCCCTGAAGAGACTGCAGCCACCAGCCACAGGTCGACAGAATCTACTAGCACGTCCTCATCAGGAACAGATGGTACTTCGTCCGAAACAAAAAATAGCAGTAATGAACAGATCTCGAAGTCTACCCCACCAGGTCCAAATTCTTCCACCGAGACCGAGCAGCCCACTGAAACATCGTTGGAAACCACTACAGCATCAGAAAGCACTCTGTTTACGACTCCAGAAGATGTCACCATAACAACGCCGAGCTTCAGGAGCTCCCCTATTACCGTAGCTGCCATAGAAGCCAGCACCACTAAAGAGCCTCTCACGGAAGGTTCCACCACATCAGCGTCTCATGCCGCGACGGAGACCGAGGTAACCGAGGTAATGACTGAGGTTTCTTCAGAAGGCACACCTGAGAACGCTCAAAAAGTCGGCAGTTTTGTGATTTTGAATCCGGCAGCAGTATCCTCTTCAGAAGCAGACGAAGAAGCAGACAACAGCCAAAAGTTAAGCAGTCCTTCGGAGTCCATAGATGGTGAGTCAAAACATTGATCAGTGAAGATGTGCTGGCATTTCTATCAAGTGGAAATTCCAGAAGCTACGCCTGCTTCCCTGCCTGCTGGTACCTCAGGCAGCTCAGTACCTTTCACAATGTAAGTATTTATGGAAATATTGGATTACAGGGGGAGTCCATGGAAATTTTAAAACATTTTTTGCAGTGGAGAGCCTCCCAAACAAACCAATCTATTCTCTTCTATTCTGACAGACATTATTGGCCGAGCGCCACAAGCCGCAAGAGCGACAGAAAGCACTCCTATCACGTAAGTGTAGGCTGGCAAAAAAGGTGTGGGGTGGGGGGCAGCAGTTCATTGCGCTCTGTTTATATTACGCTGAGGACCTCCCAGCTCTAAGAATAAGAAATGGTAGTCTCTACGTTCTCAACGCTCCTATCCTTGACGCCATCAACGTATACAGGGGGGGGGGGGCAAAAAAAGAGTCACTTCCCTCCACATTCAAAACGCAATTAATTACGAACTGCGAAACCAAATCAAATGAGCCAATTGCATATTAAAGAGCACATTCAAGTCTATCAAAAGGTTACATGACAGCCTTCTACACTGACGACATCAGAAGATTTTCCCACGGAAACATGGTTCACGGTACGAGCTCAACATAGACATTACGAGGTCCCTGAAATGCTGGTCAAAAGCGGTCTTGCATGTCACAGCTAATGTAGCCCGTTGAGCTCGACGGCGACGGCAGATGACGTCATATTCTGAAGACGGTGAGGGCAGTGAAGGAGGGGCTGCTTCTGCTTATGGGGGGACACCTAAGGAATATTCTGCCGTAAAACATTCATCAACAACGGCATCCTGTGCGAAGAAAAATTTGATGATGTGCGCCATGGGCAAAGTGACTCTTTTTTTGCCCCCCCCCCTGTATTTCTCTTGTAGTGAGCGAGGAATAACCAGAACGCAACTGGCTAGCCTCCCCCTACTTCCTTCAATTTCATTTTCATCTATACGCGTATTCGTTCCGGTTTAGACTTCACGATTGGAACCCTAGCCTCAATACTCCACAAGGAATGGTCAATTGCTCATTTCGGCTATTTCAAATGGAATGTGTACTAGAATGAGTGCTCCGAGACGCTGAGTTCATATCTACATTCGTTATCTGCGGAACAATGCCCTGAAAGAAATTATAAAACAAGAAGACACAGTGGTAGTGACCCTGATTTACATACAGGAGGTCATGGGATCAATTCTGGTGCAAGTCCAGAATTTTGTTCTTTCAGAGATATCTTAAATGTTGCTGAGAAGAGCAAAAGAATTTACTCACACTGGAGTCACTCAAGCGACCTCTTTCTTGTGAGTTGAGGTCACTAACACTGCGCTTTCCTATATTCATAACTTCCATCAGAAACTCGTTCCACAGGTAACGAAAGTTTCGAACTCAGCGTCTCAAGACGCGTAGGTATACAACTCATTTTGAAGGGCTGGACTGACCAATTGGCCATTCGTAAGCATAGGGTAAATCGGTTTTGTGCTATATTTGCCAAAATGTTGTTACGCGCCAGGGACTGAGTTTGCTTCAAAGTTAGAGATAATATGTGTTTTCATTCCAGAACCGATGATGCATCGTCAATGCAGAGGACTGACGACTTTGAAAAGCGGATAAGGGAAGAACGAATCCGCTTCGAACAGGTGACTCACATTACAGTTGCGATCCTTGAAAAGAAAATTTGAGAGGATACCAAAGGCGGGTAAGATTGAGTGAGGTCGCCCAGGGGATTGCCCGTCACTCAGGGGTCATTCGGCCCCAGAATAGCCGCTCATTCCGAGGCATATTTCCAGTAAAGACAGTTGCATCTACCCTGATCGTGGGTAGGATGGATGGCACTGATCCATCCACGAGGGTAGATGAAGTGCAGTTCTCGCGGCTTGGAACATGTGCAATAAGAGCGCTAAGACCTTTTAACCTGGTGGTGGGTGTAGTCTACAGCTGGGAATGCCTAAAACTCTGCAACTCTACTCTGGTCAATGACGATTTCCTATAGCTAAGATGCGAAAGAATGCGTTCAGGGACGCCGACTTTCAGGGGCCGATCCCCGACTCGGAGTTTCCCCTATACGTTCCTTGTGCCGCGAAGTGCTTCCACTTTTGGTCACGATGCGACAGTCAATGTGATGCCTCTAGCGCCGCTCGCCGTTTATGCACTCTCTTCTCGTTCACACCCTGACGTACAGTGTCTCATATACTGCCTTTTGCGTGAGCAACTCAACCTACCGAAGGTAGACGTGCTCATTTCCAGTGTTTCCGGCTGTTCCCTTTCCACTGCTCTTCAAAAACGATCCATTCAACACCTTTACTTTCAAAGTCGATCGGAATCACTATGATCGTGAACATCTCCCTATGGTTCCCCAACAGCCAGCACCACTTTCATCCTCCTTTCATAGCGGTCTTTGTGATCATTAGTGACCGAAACTCTATAATGCAATATTCTTTTCACGAATATAAACAAACTTTCGACGAGACAAAAGCTTTTTACTCTACGATGCTCAGGCGAAGCATCTACGTGAACAACAACAGCGATTAGATGAGCAGCAGGGAACAGAAACGGACAGAGTATTGCGAGAAGAGCTCAAGAGGAGAAGTGAAGAGATGCAGAAAAGATTGGAGGAGCAGAAAGCCACCGAAATGAGACATCAGCTGATAGTTGAAGAGCAACAGCGGCTTGAAGAGGTACGGGCATTGACTGGAGGGAGATACCGTAACATGCAACTCATCTTTTTCCAGGAGCGCTTGCGAAAGATTGCCGAAGAGAAGGAGGCAAAAGAGTTCGCAGAAATGACGTCCACAATTGTACCCGCTCTGGAGACAGCTACGAAACAGACCCGGTACAGGCTGAGGCCATCACAGGTAGGTTCAGAATACTATAATTAAATTAGCGCTAATGACCAATCAATAATTAAGTGTGCTGTAATAATCAATAATTCAGTGTGCTGCGATCAATAAATTCACTCGTGTGTTCCACATAACCAATCCGTCATCATGGATTGCCAAGAACTGCCAATTTGCTAAAAGGTGATCAGTTCGTAGTTATCGCTAGGTCAAACGCGTATCCAAAAAATATTTGATAATCTTCATTTTCTATTCAGGTACTTCCCACAAGCATCTTGCCCACAGATCCAATCACTAATCGAATCTTGCTTCGTATTCGTGGTTTAGTCGTCTTCCATCGTTGATGCGAGCCACTTAGTCAAAAATTTCAGGAATTTTTTGCTTTTCAGCTTTTATTTGTTGTATATCTCTTTGAATTGGTGAAATGTGTGTCTTTACATTCCTCAAATGTTTACGTGTGATCTACCGAGTAATGCCATACTCGTTCGATGCCTTTTACTTCGCTTATACATACTTGTTTAGTAACAACTTTGAATGCAGTAGAAATGCATCGCCATAGCTATTTTATTCAGAACGTGTTTTAATAAATAAATATGCCCAATAGTATTGTTAAAGATATTGTTATAATTACCCGATATTTTACACAATTTCATGCAAAGTTGTAGCGGAATACACTATCTTCTTAAGGTCGCTTCTGAAGCCACAAGCCAAGATGATACAGTAGCTACAGTAGCGGTCAAAAGTCTTCGCCGGAATTGTTTTTCGACTGTAACTTTTTTTCCGCTGAATCAAATCAATTCAAATTTTAATATGTTTTGGAGACAGTCCTACTTCACTTAAACGGCATATTTGTTTCGGATTGAAAGAATTAAGAATGGAAAAAATCATTTCACTAGAAATTCTCGCGTATGAGCAAATTCCAAGTAAGTTTCAAATTACTCTAGCAAGCTTACAATTCAACAAAACAATCTTACGCATGATGAATAACACTGAGCAGGTCCAATACTTTGTTAATGATCTTCTGGGTTCGCTGAAATACTAACAAGGCCTAAGTAAGGAATCAGTCATTGAATGCACTGTCTACTAGGGCAGCTTCCTCCACTTCTCTTGAAATTTGACGAGTTTCTCGCCCATATTTCCGGCTCTTATTTCCACCAAAGGTATCCCTACTCTTTCCCATAATGTTTCGATGGCGCTCAGGACATGGGTGTGAATTGTTCCTTTCGTTGAAAGCGCGCCATGCTGGCGTTTGGTCGCACTAATGCTAGAAGGCGAGCTCAGTCGCGGGCAGCTGTCATACACGTGGATAAGAGCTCCTTCTAGAACCCAACTGTATAGGCTGCCTTCACATGATTGCGAATACTGCGAAGTTAGTCGGCGGTGAACTGGTCGGGGGCGAAATGTGCTTACGCACACCTAAAGTGGGGATCCCCATAGGGCTACAACGTCCTGCGGACCAACGAGAGTAAATTCAAGATGTTTGCCGGCGACTGAAATAGGAATGTGTGCGGTCCTGAGGAAAAACGTTTCGATCCAAGGAATTAACTGCCGTATGTAAAACTTGGCGGAGGCTCGCGTGTGGTAGTCCGTAAAAGAAGTTTTACAACTGCACAGGATTAGAGAAGTGGTGAATGCCGACGTATCAGATAGATTCTAGAAGGAGTTTCGTATCCGCTCGTATGAAACTGTACGTGACTGAGTTCGCCTTCTAGCTATAGAGCGACCAAAAGCATCGCACCTTCACTGTGAAGGATTGGTTTCGACAGCATGGCGCGCTTTCAACGAAGGGAACAATTCACACCAATGTCCCGAGCGCCATCGAAACATTATGGGAAAGAGTAGGGATACCTTTGGTGGAAATAAGAGCCGGGAATATGGCGAGAAACTCGTCAAATTTCAAGAGAAGTGGTTACAGTCGAAAAAGAATTCCAGCGAAGACTTTTGACCGCTACTGTATATTTGGCCAACGTTTCGGCCTTTTGCCTTCGTCACAGCCTGGAAAGTCAGAGATCAGTGCGACCTGCCGCAGACATCAATTTGCTTTACTACTGGATATATGGAATACTCTACCGATTCAACAAAAAACACAAAATGTTTTCCTCATTCAGCAAGGCTTTGGATATGCCGCGCACCGTGCTTCCAGAAGAAATCACACAGGCATTTGACTGTGTGTAGTGAATTGATTCTACGATACCCATCGGGATCATTTAGTCCGTCCCCGTGTTAATTAAGAAAGCAAGGGATATCATGAGGATAAAGAACTTCATTGGTCGTTAGAGTGGTTAAATCCACTAAAATCTATACTATAAGGTTGAACGGAAACCTTCCATCGTTGCAGCTAAAAAATTTTCAAGGTTTCAAAAATTTTGACTGTTTTGACGTCATTGAAATATCTGCAATCTTTCGCATATACGTTTAGTAATTTGGGGACAAAACTGAGTGCTAGTAGAGCTCGCACAATCAGTAAACATGAGAAGGAGGTGAGAACGGCTCAAGGGTTCCCACCAATCATCAAAAACTTGAGTCAGAAGCAATGAGCTAGCAAGAACGAAAAAGATGATCGACAGGTTCTTCTGAGAAACATGGCTTGTAGACCCTTCAAAGGAAAAAAAATACAAGTGGAGTTGACATTAAATGTGGCACGGATCGCGCGCATCCATCCACTAGCCACGCCCAACTACGTCATCAGAGCCGCTCCTCCTCTCAGCCATGATACCCAGTGCCTTTAGGTCAAACTGGCAAAGGTTGACATATCTAGAGAGCTACATGCATCGAACTCACAGAGAACAAAATGGGAAGAACATTAAATAATTAACTTCCTGAAAAAGAAACTGCTAGCTATTGTAGAATAAATAAGGAACAATTTCGCTGTGCTATCTTTAATATGCATTTGATACAGTGAAATATTACAAATATAACTTGGGTCTTTAAATATAACCCTAGCCGATGTCGAACGTGACAGCGCTGATCCCGAAGCAGTAACTCTAAAATTGGTAGCCTACTCTGCCTTTTCAGAAAGGTAACAAAACTGAAACTTGTTGACCCTTTTCAAAGCAACATACATAAAGACCAAATCGTCTTAAGGTTTATTAAAGAGCTCAGCAATAGCTGGGGAAGGGGCGGGGGAAGGTTGGTCGTCTTGGTGGGAAGATTAAAGAAGAATTGAAGTTTCCAACCCCGCATTTGAAACCACAACAAACACCTTTTTTGAATTTGGAAAAAGCAATAGTCACCATGTTTCCGTGTCACGCAAAATTGATTCAGCCGGGCCAGAGCCTCCTACAATGCAAAAAATAGGATTACTGTATAATACACGGGTTATTGCATCACCATGTCCTCAGCTACACTTTCACCTTGTGGAATTTGCACAGAATTACGCGTGTTTTTTGCAGCTTTTACTTCCGAGCGGAGAAGAAATAATGTAATTGAAAAAAGTAGCCGACGTGGAAGGGATGAGGCTAATTATTGAAGTGAATCTACTGGCCTGTAGATCAAAACTGACGCCTCTACTCTCTTCGGGCTTTCAGGTGACGAAAAATTTCTTAACCAATCGTTTTCCCATGAGAACTACTATTATCATTAGTTACTTTGGAAATCCATCCAGTTTGTGATTCCACCATTACTTTAGGAATGGTTCTTCTAGCCTATTAGGTCACAGCCGGCCCTTGGCAGACAGCCAGCGGACCTGGCGGCTGCGCAAGACTAACGCTAGGGTTGAAAAGAAAAAGGACCTTGCAGACGTTGACCCTAAGCCCTTCAAATAAGTAGTTATCAAGTAGATTTCCAATGGTACAAGTACGTGAGAACATGTCAGTTCAGAAAGATGATATGCAACAGTGACCATCGTTGGCTACGCTCTACCCGTCAGTGTGATGGCGCTTGGCGCTACATGTGGACAGAACCCGTTCTTATCACTCTACTAGCTCATATCGATTTTTCATTTTCATCTGCAATCAACAAGGGTCATACTAACGAGTTGTACTAGATTTTCTCACATTTACCCAGTATAGTTGCTTATTTCTACAAGGTTAGCTGTTGACTGTGCTTTTTTGTCAGTTTGTAGGGTCATCGCAGCCGCTTATCAGTTCAAGTCTACTATTGTGTTGCCTTATCAAACGTGATGTGTTCTCCGTAACGTTACAGCGCTCTCAGGCCGCCAGAAATCAGATTAATGGTGGCTGTTCGAAGCATTCACTGCTCCATTCCTAGTTCGTATCATTATCTTCTTACCCATTATCTTCTCACTCCAACACCTATTTTCGACAGGACCACTTTTTTAATAACTCTCCTGAACAGTTCAAGGTGCAGTGCTAGTCGGGTGGGCACACTGATTTTTTGAATACGGTAGGCGCGAAATGTACGTGGTATGTCCACTGCTGGTACCTAACGAAGCGCAATGGGAGCCGATAATCACTATATCTTCGTTGCCTTTTCACTTTTGGTGGTATTTCCTCCTGTCGTTCCAACCCACATATTTGAACGATGGTCTGAGCCTTTGTGGGGAGGAGAAGGCTCCCTCCTCCCAAAGCTCATTTCATCGATTATCGTTAAGTGTTAGTCTCTCACATAGATTAGGCGCTCACCGTATCCAGAACGTGGGCATGCCCATCCGACCAACACTGCACCGAATTTCACACTTGATCTCAGACTTTTTTGTAATAAAAATGTTTTTGGCTGCCAAAGCGGAACTTGACCTGGGATTTGGTCTACCAAACCTAAGCGTGATAACAGCCCTTCTTGCCACTACGCCATTCGCATCTGAGGGAAAATTAGAACCACGTGTTGAAAGCTTGTTCCTGTTTGTGCTCAATCTTGGCTAGTCGTGGTTGTGAACCGAAGCACCTCTTGAGAATTGTGCGTTTTTAGGACATTTTTGTGATGTCGCTGTTCGTGTAGCTCCTGCCCCACTATGTATTCCCTCGGTCTCCTCGCACTGTGGCTGTTCCGTGGCTGCGACTTAATATTTTAAGGATAAAGGATAAAGCATTTGCCGTTGATCAATCCCTTTTTGGGATGCGGCACGCATTCTACTTCCATTTGTACATTCGTAGTGGCGTTTGAATGCGATGTGGCCTATACAATGACTTGCGGGGGCCAGCCGATGTACAAGTCAGTG